TCCTCCTCCTCCTCCTCCTCCTCCTCCTCCTCCTCCTTCACCAGGCGGCCTCGAGCTTCGAGCTTCGAGGGGGCAATTATCAAGACACACGGACCGAATCGAGTCGGAACGGAATCGGATCGGACCGGAATTGGACCGACGACGGAATCGAACCGAACGGGATCGAAGCGAGCCAGGATCGACGCCCCGGCCGGCGAATCGGATCGCGAAAAACCACTTCCGGGGAAGGGGTCGGGACCTCTGGGGCCGCGGATTGAAAAAATCATGTCGGCGGATGTCTGGGGAGCTGAGCTGTCTTGGAGGGCTCCGGGAAGCCCGGGCAGGAGGATTGGATTGGATTGGAATGCCCTCGAAAGGGGGGGTGCACAGCACTAAAGCCGCGCGCCCCCGCGGCCGGCGGGCGCCCGCGCGCGGGCGCGCGGCCGGCCGCGGGGCGCTCACGGCGCGGGTGGCGCACGGCGCCAGCGGGCCCCCCGCAAGCGGGCAGCATGGGAATAGCTGGACAGCTCCCCCCCCGCCTTCTGTCGGCCGGAAACGGCCGCGCCGGAAACACCCGGCAGCCGACAGAACGGGGGGGGGGCCAGTCCTAGCCAAACCCACGCCACCCACCCCAGGGGCCCGGCCCGCCACGACACGACGCGACGCGACACGACAGGGGGACGAAACGAACGACGCGACACGAAGACACGACACGGACGAACGACACGACAGAGACGAGCCGCCGGTCCCGCCCCAGGGCGGCGATCGCTGGGGGGAACCAGCACCGCCCTGGGGGAGGCCACGGGACCTGGCGACCCCCCCCGGGGGAAGGAAACCGCACTTTGGCGGCGTCCCCCGGGGTGCGGGGGCTTTTCGCCCCTCGGGCCCGGCGCTCCCCGCCTGCGCCAGGAGGACCCTAGGGTCCCGACCCCTCCCCTACGGGAGGGGCCCCCTCGGGGCAAGCCCGGGCAGGAGGCGATGCGTGCGGGCACCAGGGGGGCACGTCGCCGGCAGCTCGGCGAGAGGCCCCCCGTGGCGAGGACGCGCGCGCTCCTGTGACAGGGGGGTGGGGCCAGCGGGCCCCCGTCGGCGCCGAGGGCAGGGCGACGCAGCCTATAGGCATGGCCGCTGCTCTCACCGGCCAGGCCCATGCTGAGCCCAGCAGCGGTGCACACGCAACGCGAGCCCGGCCTGGCCAGGAGGGCAGATGCCCAGCGCCCGGGCCCAGCAAGGGCCCGGCCAGGGGGCAGCGGCCATACACGCCAGGTTTCGTGCGTGATGCATTGGGGGGGAGTCACTTTTTGGGGGGGAAGTCTGCTCTGAGCTGCCTTGGAGGGTTCCAGAGGGTCTGGGCAAGCGGCCGCCCTTTCATGGCTGGTCTGGGGGGTGGTCCAAAAGTGCGGAATACAGGTATCGTCGCTCGAGAATGGGCGATCGAGGTCTATGCTCGGCGGCGAGCGAGGGGGGGAAGTGAGAAGGTGAATTACTTCTCAGGTGGCGGAGCTTCTCAGAAGCCCTCGGGCCATCTGAGAATATTCTTGTCTTCGGGGGAAGATCAGGAAACTTCTCGGAAGGCCGGGGGAATCCCACCAGCCCTTTGGGCGTGAGTGGTTTAGCGAGCTCTCTCTGTTCTCAACCCCCCTTCTTCCCCTTCGGGGAGGGGTTTACCCCTCCCCCTACCCCCTCCCCCTGGACCTGGAGAGGGGGTCCGGCGGGTCGTCAGGGGGTCAATTTCGACTCCTGGGAAAGCTAAAAAACGACACCCCTCACGAGGATTCTGCCCCCGACGGGGGGACGCCGAAAAAACCTTCTCCTCTTCTGTGAAGCCAAAATCATTGATTTTACTACGGTTTCGGCCCCATTTTGGCCTTCTGAGGGGGCAGCGCTCCTCTTCCTTGTTCTCAAAATCATTGATTTTACGAAGGTGTTGGGCTCATTTTGTCCTTCTCAGGGGGTAGCGCTCATTTGCGCTTCTACCAGAGGCTCCCAACAGGCCCCCAAGAGGCCCCCAAGAGGCCCCCAAGAGGCCCCCAAGAGGCCCCAAGAGGCCCCCAAGAGGCCCCACGAGGGGCCCGAACGACTCACACCAGGACGAGGGGCCCGAACGACTCACACCACGAAGAGGCCGAACGACTCACACCACAAGGAGGGGCCCGAACGACTCACACCAGGACGAGGCGCCCGAACTACTCACACCACGAGGAGCCCGAACGACTCACACCACGACGCGGGCCCCGAACGACTCACACCACGAGGAGCCCGAACGAGTCACACCAGGAGGAGGGGCCCGAACGACTCACACCAGGATGAGGGGCCCGAACAACTCACACCACGAGAAGCCCGAACGACTCACACCAGGACGAAGAGCCCGAACGACTCACACCACGAAGAGCCCGAACGACTCACACCAGGAAGAAGGGCCCGAACGACTCACACCAGGACGAGAAACCCCAAACGACTCAAATCACGAGGAGCGCTTTCTCTCCCTCCTCCTCCGCCTCGTCCTTCTCCCGCTCCCCCCACAAGGAGGATGTACAAGGAGGCGGGAGGAAGAAGGAACAGGGGAGATATGCGGGCCCAAGTGGACACACGCCTGAAAAACACGACTGCCGGCATGCTTCGCAAGAGTTGCTGCTGTGAGATGGGCTGGTGGGGATACGCGAAGCGTAAAGAATTCCGAGCCTTGTGAGAGGGCCTCCCCTTCTCACAAAGAACCACAACCACAACTAATTGGATTTTTGGTGAGGGCCCCTCGGGGGGAGAACCCGACGACCTCGACGTACACCGTTTGGTTGTGGTTGTGGTCGATTTGGCGTCCTGGGACGCCCATTTCGACCACAACCAGTACTAAGCTGGTTTCGGTGTTCTACCAGTTGTTAGCATGCGCAAGACATCCCCAGGGTGCGTCCTCGATGTGATTGTGGTCGTTCGCTGTCCCCGCATGGTTCCTCGACGGATTAGATGACAATCGAGTCTGATTGGGGAGGACACGCGAGAGGACACAAGACCCTTCCGAAGGCCACACTGCAACAGACAATGTGGAACGGGGAGAGACGGGTCTTCCGCGAGATGGCATGGCGACCTCACGCGGAGGCTCAGGCGGGCCGCCAGCGCGGCATGCCGCAGTGGAAACGAGGGCGCCCGCGCGGGACCTTGCACGTGAAGCTCGCGCGCGAGTGCTGGCGCAGTCTCGTGTAGCAAGGATGCGCGACAAGGATTGCAGGGGCCTCGGAGGCCCATCTCGAGGTTATTTCAAGCGAGGTGCGGTCCACGAGAAAAGCGGCCGAGGAGGGACCCCGGAGGCAGGGATGCGAGGGGGTACCCCCTGGGAAGGCTAACCGCCCTTACTGCCAAGACAGAAACTTGGGGCGTTTACTACCCCTTGAGGACCCCGCGACGTCGTGCACTCCCCTCCGCACTAACCCCCAACGCTCTGCACTCCTGCCTTGTCGGACCCTCAAATTTGATTATACTTCCGATGCAACAGATCTCATATCATCCCTCATCCCATCTCCCTCGTCCTTCTCCTCCTCATCCTCTTCCTTCTAAAATGAATATGGGCCGCCCTGATTTGTTCAGTACGCGGCCCCAGGAAGTCCCGACCCTGTTTCCCCAGGACCGGTGTTTCATCCTGAATCGTTTTGTTGACGGTCCCGAGGCTCGGCGCAGGCCCCCCGAGGCCGGAAATTGCGAAAAGCCTCCCGTCGTGATTTTGCTCACGACGCGATCATGTCTTGGATACTATGCGAGTTGCCTGTACCCCGTTGTCTTCCGTCGCTCAGCTTGTCAACGAAGAGCGGGCTGGCGGCTCCATCAGGCCCTCGCCGTGCATGTGGCCGCGGTGCCACTCGCCTCCCACTCGCGGCGTCTGGGCTGCTTGCGTCGGGGGCGCGCATAACACGGACCAGCGATCCATGGACTCGGCGCGCGGTCGCCGAAGCCATGCATCGGGGGAGGCGCCCTCCCCAAAAGGCGGCGAGGTGCCGCCTCGCGCGGGCCCGCAGGGAGCCGCGATGCCCCTGGAGACGGGGCCCGTCGCCAAACCACGCCCCCCGGTGAGCCACGGTTGCGCTCGCCCGCCACTGCAGGCTCGCCGCCGTCCTGCGTGCCCCTCTCGGCGGCGCGCCCAAGGGGGGAAGGCAGAGGGGGCGGGCCTGCCCTGGCGGGCGCCGCGCAAGTCGGGGGGGGGGGGGGGCAGGGGGAGGCGAAACGGCCTGCACCCTTGGTGCCCCCGTCGGGCCCCCTTCTGAGGTCCCCCTAAGGTTATGTTGCGCCCATCGTACTTAAGGACCACATCCCAGAAATAATTCCGAGCGCCAGAAGTGTCGAAAGAGTGTCGAAAGAGTGTCGGACGAGTGTCTCCCAGAGCCCGACACGTGAAAACCCTGGAGTTTCGGCATTTCTGCTGGTGCTCGAAATTCTTTCTGGTGGTCAAGGCTGAAATAGGCTGGATCATCATAACCCTAAGGTGCACAAGAGGTGCACCTTCCCAGTCGCCCCCCATGTAACCAGCGGAGGCCAGTCCACAAGAAGCCTTCCACAAGAAACCCGGCCCTGAGACCCCAGGACGTCCATTCGGGTTTTGGTGCGGGAGCGCCACGCCTTCCATCGCAAAGCAAGTGGAGTGGGGGCGCCCCACGTGTGGATGCGGGTGCCCAGTCGGGAGCAGAAGAGAAACAAAAGCGCGCGAGGAGGGGGAGGACGAGGGGGGAGGAGGAGGAGGAGGAGGAGGAGGAGGAGGAGGAGGAGGAGGAGGAGGAGGAGGAGGAGGAGGAGGAGGAGGGTGTCTCTTGGCATGGGCCCCTTTCTACCATAAGTTCAACCTCGATGTCCCGTCGAAAGCATAGGGAAAACCCGAGGCAAGCTGTGCAACAGTCAGGAAACACGGAGCCCCTCCCCAACGAAGAGGGCTCCTTCTTCAGCGCCCCGACTGTGAGCTCCCGCCGCCTTCTGCAAAGGCTTACCCTCAGCGGCACCGTAACACGTACTTACAGACGCGTACTTTGGAAACTTGCCGAAGGTTGCCCATTCAGGGTCTCTATCTGGCATTGCAGCATGGCCCACATCGGGGAGGGCTGGGTTCGCCGGGTCGCTGGCCAAAGTACCCGTTAGTGGAGTCCCCGTTAGAGTGGCGCTGATGCCCCCTCTCACTTCCCCCCCAGCGCGCCGCCAATCCCCTTTCTCCTTCACATTCCCCTGTGGGTTGAAGCTATGGTGCTTCACCCCCCCCCCAGGCTGTCTTCTCACCGAGAAGTCTTCGAGGACTGCCTGACCTGACCTCACCTGGCCTGGCCACGCTCTCCTGCTGTTCATCCATTCCGCTTCCAGCCCGAGATGGGGACGGACAACAAGGAGGCGATGCCCAGCAGCACGTGTTGTCCAACACAGGCAGCGACCGCTGCTGGGCAGGCGACGCTTACCCCAAATGGACAACGCTTGCGGCGACACTGATAGCGAGTCCTTCCCAGAGTGGGCGGGAGCTGCGGTCGGTTTTCGTCCCCGTTCTTTCCATCCCCCTCTGGATCGTGCCGACCCCCGCTTCTTCTCTAAAGGAACAAACATATGAGCTTGACTTCTGGGAGGTCCGCGCGGACCTCCCATAGAATACTCTGGATGGGACAATAATCGCCCCCCCATTAAATCCGCTGGGGGGGTTGGGCACGTGCTGTCGGCACGGGTGGAGGGGGGGGTTGGAGAAAGAGGAGGATGAGGAGGGGAAGGAGAACGGGGGGGGGGCGGATTGGGCAAGCTCAGTCGGGAGGCTAGCCACCCCCCCATGAGAATATCCCATCCAAAGTATGTATGCGCAAGTGCTTGTTTTTCGAGCCCCTCCCTCGCCCCCTTCGTCCCGCCCAGTCGTCGTCCTCCAGCCGCGAGAAGCAGCGACGACCCCAGGAGCGCTAAAACAACGACGCGGGAGGAAGGAAAATCGGCGCCCCCCCAACAGGGACTCTATGCGGAAAAATCCTGGAGGCTCCGCGCGGCAACTTGAGAACTGAATTACGTCGGATCCACGTCGGAGTTACGTCGGGCTCACGTCGGGCAGCATCGGAATTGCGTCGGATCTACGTCCGACTGGCGCCGGAGCATTGCCTCGCGAGCGTCGACCAATAGCTTACGGAGCTGACGTGCAGACTAGATAATACAACAATTACGCGCCGCGAGAGGCCTCCAGAATTTTCCCCATGAATTACTCCACTCACGGGCACTTTGGCCAATGGCCCCGCGAACCCAACGCTTCCCGATGTGGGCAACGCAGCAATGCCAGAAAGAGGCCCTAAAGTGGCAACTGTGGGCAAAATTCAGAAAACAAAAAAAACAAACAAAAAAAAACGTCAGTGGGTACCCGTTACTGTGCCGCTGAGAAAACACAGGAAGGAAGCGGAAGCCACAGACCGAAGAGACAAGACGAAAAGACGCAAACGACAACAGAGGAAACAGCGTCACCGCCGAGACGACAGGCAGATGGGGCTCCCAGATGCTCGATTGTGGCCCCCGCGCGCGGGCGCACCTATATGGAGGGGCAACGCCGAGTGAGACGGAGCCGCGATGCCGCACTCGCACTGCGCACATGCGCTGGCGCATGCGCCCCGGAGGAGGCACAGCAGACGTGAGAAGACCGAAACAGAAGCCACGACGGCGCCGACGGCGGCAGCAGCAGGGCAACGCCGGCTGCAGCACCCAGAGACGGAGGTGCAGTCCAGAGGCGTCGCAGGTCGCGGGCGCACGCGGCACACCTGGACCCTTTATCACGAGCAGACTCGGCAAGGCGGTGAGCTCGAGGACGACGCAATCGAGGAGGAACACGCGCGTGAACACGTTGCATAATGAAGGGGCCCTGGGACATACAAGTAAACACCCACAAATAACAGGATTCCCCATATTTCCTACATTTTCTGGGTTTCTGTCTTCCCCCTCTCTTCCCATATCTTCCCGTATTTCCTGGGGAACCGACGATGAATTGTGTCTGTGTGTGTTTTTTTCCCTCCTGACATAAGTCAGGAGGGAAAGAAGCACACAGACACAATTGATCGTCGACTCCCAGGAAAATGTGCAAAAATATGGGAAGTGGGGGGGAAGACAAAAACCCCCAAAAATGAGAAAATATGGGGAATCTTTTTATTTGTGTGTCTTTATTTGTGTGTCCTGGGGCCCCTTCAATGAGCGAGACCGGGGACCCGCCAGCAGCCCCAGGGGCGGCCCCAGCCTCTGGACCACGGCCAGACGCGGCGGAGAAAACTGCACGGCCCGCAGAGGGGGCCCGCCGAGGGGGCACCGCGCGGCGCCGCCACAGCGCGACGCGTGCTGGCGGCGGCGGGCGGCTCGCGCCGGAGCGGCCGGCGAGGGCGGCATCGGCGAGCAGCGCGGCGGCTCGTCGGCGGCTCGCGCAGATAGGGGGCCACATGCGACCCCTACCCCTACCCCCCACGATTTCTGAGGGGGAGGGTGGGGTTCACTTCCTTCGTGAGCTCCAAAGCGAAGTGAACCCCACCCTCCCCCTCAGAAATCGTGGGGGGTAGGGGTAGGGGTCGCATGTGGCCCCCTAGCAGAACGGCCCAAGCACCGGCCGTAGAGCGGCGGGGTCGGAACGAACCACCAGGGCCCGCCGCAGGGCGCCGCCGGCTCACGGCGCACGATGCCATCGTCACCAGCGCACGATTCGAACTCCAGCAAATTCGCAGCCCAGAGCGCGGCAGCGCTCAGGGGCAGAAGTCAACAATACCCTCGGGAATCTGGTCGAACCATCGGCCCGACTGCAAAGAGAGAGGCTCCTCCTAGTAGGCGCCGTGCCATCCGCAAACCCTGATCTGATGCTTCGCAACCAGATGGTGTGGGCAGGTGCACTCCTGAGTCCAGTGAGCCGTCACGAGGGCCCACTCCAGCGGACGATTCGGGCTGCCTCGTAACTTCTCAACACCCGGGCTCGCCATGTGACAGACAGATCTCCACACGTCGTCTTCTTCATCATATGCCGAGCCCTAGCCCCCGCCGAAGTCCATGCCCACGTGGCGGTCGGCCGACGGCGTGGGCGCGGGCGACCCCCTGTGAGGCTGCACTCACGTGGGAAGCGAACGACGTCGAACGAGTGGTACCCTCCTCCTTCCTGTTAGCACAGCGGCTGCGACGGCGCAACGGTGTCATCGTCGTCGGGAACGCTGGCAAGCCCGACGCTAGTAGAGCGCAGCGTCATGGAGCCAGAGTCTTCACCCATCGAAAAGGCGAAAAGGACGACGAGATCCATACTTTTCCAGTGCTCCTGCCCAGGATGGGCCTGGCCAGAAGCAGTGGATATGCGTGCGTGTATATATATATGTGTGTGTATAGATCTCGTCGCCCTGTCAAACTCCAACTGGCTACAACCCTCTGCTGCAAGGCATCCCGAGGAACAAAAGCGTCCTAAGGGCATGCCTCCGCCAAGAAGCAGGAGCCCGCCGTCCGCAGCCGAACCGCCGAGGAGCGTCGATACAGCCCTGGCAGCTCGCCGCGGTCGAGGTGGCAGCAACCCTGGACGGCACTGAGGGCTCGTCGCACTGACAATCCAACATGTGCAAAACGGAATCATCCCTGGCTGACGCGGCAATACCAAACCACCCCAACCCGACCCACCCCAACCCGACCCGACCGGAAGACCCGAATTTCGGGTTGGGGGGGTACAGGCTTCACATGTGTTTTTGTTCCATATGTTCCCCGCCCCCCCCCCCTTACACTGGAAATGGAAGACAAATTGGGGCCTTCGGGTTGAGCTGGGGTGGTTTGGTGACTGGTGAGAAATGGCGGCTGCTCCAGAACGCCTGCTTTCGCATTGCATGGCCGACGGCAATCATGGATTTCGCATAATCCCCGCCTCTGCT